TTTTTTTTTTTTTTTTTGAAAAGCACTCCATGTTTTTTAAATTCCTGAAGCTTATCATATTGAAGTGCTAACTTTCAGTCTGTATTCCTGATTTGCATTTCGTTTGAAAATAATTTGCCCAGAACTTGTGTGTATGCAATTAAGAAATTTAAAAATTATTAGAGATTCATCAGTGCAAAGCTTAATTAAACATGGAAGATCCTGAGCTTGATGCTCTTGCATTCACTCTCATATTTGGTAACAAATGTCTAGCAGTAAAACCTCATTGTTAATTATTAAGGTCTCAATTTTGTATCCTAACCTCATTTTTCGATGCTGCAAGACAATTTTGATCTTTATCCATACAATCAGTTCCTGATAGCTAAGCTACAGAAATGATGCTCACAATTTACTTATATGGCTGTGGACTTTTTTGATATATTATATCTCATGCAATTTTTTGGATGATTTTCTGTGGTATGCTGGCCTGTCCAGCTGATACCTTCCCATGCCAGGTTACTTACCTGCATAAGTTTTACGTGTCTATTTCAGGCAAAGAAGCTAGAAGCAGATATTGAGATGACAAGAAAGGAGATGGAGGATCCGACAGAAGTAGAAATTGAGCTCAAGAGAAGGCTTGGTCAGTTAACTGACCATTTGATTCAGAAACAAGCCCAGGTTTGTCTTTCAAACTACTTTCAAGTCAATTGTAGTAACTGGGATCTGCAGTTTTTAGTCAATTGTAGTAAATGGGATGTGCAGATTTTCTCTTCTTTTGGTCTCCCAATTGAGTCATTTTATCCAAGGATTTCTAATATTGATGTTTTGAAATAAGAATTTTAGACTTTGATTCTTTCTCATACAGCCACCGAGCTTTATAATTTCATATGTAAAACCAAGGGACTTTTGTTATTCAGGGCATTCTTTCTTAGTCATGAACTCGTCAATTTCTATACGATCAATGTGAGCTGCCTAATAAAATAAGACTAGAGCTCTTCCAGACATTCTTATTTCATCTTATGATCTAATTAGACAGTCATTCTCTGAAACTACGAGTTGAATTCAAGAAAAAAGAGTTGATTGTGTGGGGATACTGTAGGAAGTATATGGCGGCATCATGTTCTGACTTCTGACAAATAGAACAACTATTCTGTTGTTTATATAGATTAGGCAGAATTTTTTGTAAATGATATACTGTTTGAAAGGACTACCGGTAGCCAATTCATTCATCTTCAACAAGTTCTTGGTTGAAACTTCCACAAGTAGCATTGACCCTGTAGCAATGTATTGGTAATTCTATTCAAAAGTCTTGAGTTAATAACTTCACTTCTTTCTGCCATGATTTATTGAGTTGTTTTGAGTCAAGAAGTGAAAGATAGCCTCATCCTTTTGAGCTGTCAAGTGTCAATTTGAACTATGCATTTTCGGTTCTGTGTGAAGACAAAATTTTGACATTGATTCTTCATCCAGGTTGAAGCGCTGTCCTCGGAGAAGGCAACCATAGCTTTCAGAATTGAGGTATGTTTTTACAACTTGGAGTGATTGGCAGTACCACCGGCAACAGAAAAAAAAAAATCTAATGGATTTTTGTGATTTCCTATACTTTCAGGCTGTTTCAAGGTTGCTAGAGGAAAATAAGTCGGTGATGAATTCAAGTAATTCGGAATCAGGAAAGTGGGCAATTTCTGACTCAAAGTTGAGGCCTATGTTTGAGGACAAAATCCGTGCTGGAAGGAAACACTTAGGATCATTGGTTCAGCAGCTAGACGCTATTTTCCTTGCTGGTGTTGTGTTTCTAAGGAGAAATCCAGCAGCAAAATTGTGGTGTCTGGTCTATCTTTTATGCCTTCACGTTTGGGTCATTTACATTCTTATGGCACCCTCCCAATCATCAAATGAGGGCAGATCTGGTGCTGTTTTTTCGCTGGAAAATCTCAACAATACTGCAGGGGTGTAATTGTTTGCGGTGTGTGTGTGTATATATATAAATATATATTATATTTTCCTCAGCTTTTTTGAGAGGTCTTGTATCACCCAGTGATAAAGCACTACCTTGCTAGGGTTGTAATGATTCATGTATAAACAAGAAAAGCAATAAATATATCAACGCAAATTCCTTCTTTTTTTTTCTTTTTTTTTATTTCTCTCTCTCTAGGAAAGAAACATGAAAACCCTCCGAAGTACTCTTGAAAAGGATAGTAAGTGTAATAGAAAATCCTCAGAAGTAACTCTTACGAAGGTTGATTTGCAGAGTTCCTGATTGCATGCAGCAAATGAAAGTGCTTATAGAAGAAATCTCACTGCAGCTGAAAACTAGGACTTGTAAAGAATTAATATTTTATAATAAATAAAGGGAATCTACATGAGAGAGAGCTTTTCTTTTGGAAATGGTTGTGGAAGGGCTCCCAATTTATAAACCAATGTATAGTTTACTAATTTAAAATTAAAACGAGACATGAATTATAGTATAGGTCGTGATGTGCCATGAAATATAATACTAATTATATAATTATACTATGATTTGATTGAATCCTTGTGGGCATTGACTTGCATCGCAAACTTCATAGGTTTAAAATTGTTACTAATCCATATATTTTATATATATATACAAATGTTTTGATCTTATTTTATTTTGCATTTTTCAGATATTTAAAGATCTCTTCAAGGGCGACACTCTCATTATCAAGTTATGAAATCCTTCGGTCACTACCTCAAATTGTCATGCACTGCTTCCTATCCTTTTCTTTTGGGTATAATTTCAATTGAACAACTGCGGTTAAATGACTGTTTCATCATTTTTAAAATATTTTTTTAGTTTTTTTAAATCTTAACTTATTAATATAAAAGATTAATTTGTTTGAAAAAATATTATTTTATTATATTAAAAAAAAACACTTTAAAACACAACAACATACAATAAAAAAGAGCAGTAGAGGTGGAGACATGTTTCAGGCAGCAGAAAGAAAATCAACCGACAGCTAGTAATAGAAAGAGCATGGCGTATATGTAGCTTAACAGCTATAACCATTCCTAGTACATTAAAGTTACCAAAACAGGGCAAATTCCCCGTTGAACTTCTAGCCAATCTTCGATCCATCGCTGCCTCCACCTTGTCTTGTTCTATTCCTTGCATATACGGAGATTGCTTTAGAAACAATGCAAATTTGAACGGAATAATGTCTACTAGCAAAATAAGTTTTAAGGTGGAATGGCATCAAAAACTTAAAACATTACAATATTATCAACCAAACAATGTCTACTTTCACTCAACAAGGCACTACACATCTAACAACGTGATTTTTCCTCTTTCAGGCAAAAGCACAAGTATTTTACAAGAGTTGAATAAACTTATTTTGTTAGCAAGCAGTGGATTTTTTAAGCAGAAGCAGATGAGTATATAGCTTACGACGGAGTGAGATAGATCACAATCAGATCAACAAAATAAATATTCCCGGTCGATCTCCAATATATATGCAGTGCAAGTCTAGTCATTGTTTTACCAGATCAAATCCACATGCAGAAATCTTAGTTCAGTTCTTCATTTGCTTCTAAACATCAACTATATTTGCTTAAAAAAAAAATCGACATGAAACGGAAATGGTTCCAAGGTAAGTAAAAGAAAGGAGGCAAAAGAAAAATGGAAGACAAGTCTTCAACCAACAGAATGAAATGAAGTAGCTGTCAGACAAAGACAACAATAATAGGCAACAGAGACAATGGTTGAAATGGAAGTACAAAGGAGCAAATTTTATCTCCCTGCAGTTTCACACGTTCAATTCTACATGCATTCCTATCATAACACGTTGGAATTACTTCTTGGAAAATGCACATTACAATTCATGAACAACCCATGAATAGAAAGGTGATTTGTTGATTACATGCCAGAACAGAAATAAAAACAAAAGAAAAATTTTATTGGTGTCTCACCATGTTGACCCCTCTTCTGGAAAATTACGACTGTAGAGAGGAAATTCAAAGAGGAAAACAGATTTGAACCATGAAGGTAAGCTCCTGTACACTGCTTGGGGCAGTGGAATTAGAGGGCTGAAACAGGAGTTCAGTCAGCTAGTTTATCCTCCAGATTAGTTGAAAACAAAAACTGGCACTAAGAGAGAACAAACATAACCTGGTTGTCCTTTTATACGCCCTGTATGCAGCCACGTTGCCAAATTTCTTGTCAGCAGATTTCTGCTCACATAGTTGTGGATAGTAAGCATTTTGAAATGTCAAAATGAAGTTTCAGCAATAACATTTGAGGCAGGAAGAGCAAACCTCAAGCAATGGTATGCCACTGACAAAAAGAAGCAACAATGTGAGAAAGATTGGCCCAAGGATCACCAGCCACTCAGCACCTTCCAGTACAGGTGCAGAAGCCACAAAAATACCCCACCAGAGGAGAATCTGAGAATGACATTCAATAAGGTTTAGCCTGTCATGGCAAAATAAGATTGAAGCAGATCAAGCAAATCTTTGGAGTATGTGGAACTTATGAGACATCCGTTCCAGGAAAAACTCAGCTGAAACAACTTCAGGTTACTTACTTCTCACAAAATTAAAGTTAATAATTCACGAGGTACAAATTTTTGCATGCCATGAGCACTAGTGAAGGCTCGTATTTGTGATATGTTTCTTGTTTATCCATATCAAACAACCAGCACATTTAATAAAGCCAATAGAGGTATTGACTGAAACCTATGAGGTTTAAGTTGAATATTTAATCACATTCAGGTACTTGCCAAGGTAGTGAAGTTGAATATGAAGGGCATGCACTGAAACAGTGAAGTTTGCACTAACAACCTGTAACCATTAGAACAAAGAGTATATTTTTCTAAAGTTGTCACAGGAGCAGCACCGCTTGATTTCAACAAGCATTAAAAAAGCATCACGCTGCTCTACTTTCTAAATTACCCAACATTGGTGAGAAAAATGCAGGACAAACCTCGCCAAAATAGTTTGGGTGACGAGATATATTCCATAATCCAACATCACACCATTTCCCTCTGTTTTCTGGAGCATTCTTGAATGTCAGTTTTTGTTGATCAGCTGTAGCTTCAACTGAAACACCAACAGACCACATAATCCAGCCAATTATGTCTGCAGCCTGAACGGAAGGATCCCTGTCAATTCCATTAACCACTGTTACAGGTAAACTCACAGTCCACACCCAGACAGCCTGCAGAGAATAATAAGAGGATAAACATGAATAATTCACCTCTCAAACATCAAACCATACCCGACAAGAATTGAGACATGAATATCATTAATTTAAAAAGAAGATGAAGAATCCTCAAAAACCTGAAATATCCAGAAAACAGCTAATTTCCCCAAGTTACTACGCATTTCATCAAAACGTCTATCCTCCCCCCACTGCAGAATCCTGTTCACAACAGTATACAAATACAGTCAATCAATTTCAATATACTATTATCCAGTATCTCATGAAGCTAGTAAAGGCAACCACGGAATGTCTGTGTGGCAACTTGATTAGGGATTTTAGTATCAAGCAAACCTCATCTCATCTCATGCAACTCAAAACTTCTGAACTGAAATAATAGTATGTCGTAGAATTGCTTATATAATTTAAAAGCACTTCCGTAGAATATCATGTCATTAGTACCTCAGTAATAGGAACACTCCCAGGCGAAGACCCCAAGATACTACAAGGAAACTCAAGACTACCTGAAATACAGAGCAGCAAGATCATGAATGTGGAAGGTTACATGCTAGAAAACACAGGGCAGGATCAGAGTAAATATTAAGTAGCAAGCAATTGAATTTACAGTAGTAATGCAAACAATATTTGCCCAGATGAAATTACAGAAGGAAAGAAAGCTAGAGGTTTACAAACAGGAATGTGGAATCCATGTAGCTAATCACTTCAAATCAATCAGCCTATCAAATTCCAGTATTATATCATACAAGAAGTGCTAAATAAAATAGGTGACTCTTTACACCTTACTAAACTCGCATCACTAGGAGTCTTGTTAAAGCAATTCTCAGCATACATGTCTGTACATGTGTGTAGTCAAAGGACAACAGGATTTATAGTGAAGTTGAAGGAAGAAGGATATAAATAATAAAATCCCATTGAACAAGATGCGGATAAAGGGTTATATAATGCTTTGCTAATCACATCATCAACTGAGTTTAGATTATCAAAGACTCCAGCCGAGTCTTAAGGCATAATAACAATTTCATCCGTCAAAGAGTGATACAACAGTCTTAAAATAATACTATAAGCTCAGGAGGAGAGACATTTACCTGTCTGAAATGCCATGTCCCTTTCAAAACCAGAGTCAACACAGCTAGTATAATAAAATTTGTGCTTCCTGATATAAGGAACCAGAATCAATTTCCACAAATATTACAAAAGTTGCCAACAAATTAAATCAACAAAGTTGATGGTATCAATTTATTCATCAATTCCTTCCAGCAAATTCTCAAGGAAAGTTGGGAAATTGAAGTCTAGAAAAGTAACAATACCGGCAAAGTCAGTGACTTTATCAAACTTCAGAAGGGCAGTGATAACAAAAAACAGCAGTTGGTATCCCACCTATAAAACAAAATAACAGCAATGTTAAAAAAAAAAAATTAAGGCCACCATTGAACAATGGAAGATAGATAGGGAGGGAGGGAGGGAGAAACATACAGTGACGATGGCAGTGAGTGCTAGAAACTGGGAGTCTAAAACGGTTCCCATTTTGAGGGGATTACGTTGTACTTCACTATAGTTTTGTTCGATCTATGAAGACTGGTTTTTTCAGTTTGTTGTGTTCATCTGTCAGCTTCTTTTATGCTTATGGGGGTGTCTCTTCTTTTATTTTCTCTTGCCATAAAAATGTGTGGATGATAAGAGAGAGGCATTATGGGGTTGGGATTTGAACACCGTTTTGTTTGACTTTTTTTTAGCATTCAAAGTTTTCAATTCATTCCATTTTCCTCTCTTTGGGCTTTGGCGATGGGAACATTTCAAGCTAACCACTTTTTAAATTTCCTTTTATTTCCAACTGCTTTATATATACTTTTTCCATGATAAGGTTATCCTTGAGTCATTTTCACTGAAATTAAGACAGACACCACTGTCATGTTAATCAATAAGTTTTATCATTGTTTCTAAGATTTACGTGATAGAATTTAAATTTCCTATAATCCCTAATAGTTTCCCAAAGGTTCTGATGAGACCCCCCTCGTGCCATGAGCCCATAACTAATGAAAATTAAAAGGAAATCCCAACTCTTTTCTTCCCTACTCTCATTTTTCAAATTGATTATGAACTATAAACTAAAAAAAGGGGGATTTTACAGTGTTTCTTCTCAAAAACATTATTTATTTAGATAGTGATTTGTTTCTCTCTTTTAAAAAAAAATTATTTTTTAATATTATATTATTTTTTATTGAGTTATTATATAATATTGAATTGTATATTTGATGAATTAACTTAGTTGGCTAGAGCTTTTTTAATTATATTTTAAAATTTTATTTTCTAGTATTGTATTGATTATGAATTAAATTTCATAATTTATTTTATTTATTTTCTATTATGTTATTTCAGCATCATGACCTAAGAATAATATTTAACAGATTAACCCGATTTAACTCAGGTCATTTTTTGTGTTATTTTTAATTATTTTTTTTAATTTAATCATTTAATATTGAATCTATTAGGAATTAAGTTTAATAATTTATTTTGATTTGCTTTCTATTGGGATATATTGATTTCGTGATCAAAATCACAAGTTTTACCATTTTAATCCTAATTAATCGAATTATTTTTTTTATTTTTTTCTAAGAGGCTATCCAGTTTCATAATTCAAGTCATTGATCCTTCAAAAAAAAAAAAGAGAGAAAGAACCGGAAGTTGGCACCTGCTTGCTTGCTTACCAAGCGATCTTGGCAAGCTCCTCCAATTCTATTATACTTTACTTATTATTATAAAAACAACTCACTATAAAAATAAAAGACAAAATTCTTGCTATTATTGGAATATTATGGTGTTGAGACTTAAACAGCCTGACATTTAAGACTCAACTCTTTTTTTTTCATTTTCATTTCAATTTGAGGAAGATTATCCAGTAGACAGAATTTAGTTGTGGTCCTTACCGCTACAAAAGAGCTTAATTGCGTGGGTATGAAGGCCCTTAGGTGAGCGTTAGCGTCTATGGGATGTACATCTATATATAGTTGAGGGGGGACAAGACAGCTTACGGTGAAGAGGGAAATACAATATCCCAACCCCAGTTTGCTTTCTATTGGATTGTTTTCATCTCATAACTTAAATCATGAATTTGGTAGATTAATTTAATTGATTAAATTTTTTTTAATTGATTTTTTTAAATTTTATCATTTAATATTATTTGATTGGTAATTAGACTTCATGATTTATTCATGTTTTTTTTTTTAGGTTATTTCGATCTCATAACCCAAGAATAATACTTAATTAGTTAACTCAAGTTGACTTGACTTATTTTTTATGTTATATTTTTAGTTAAAACATTTACAAATTTCATCGTTAAAAATTGGAATCAACAGAGATAATTTAAGAATTGAGTTTCATAATATTTTTTTATTTGCTCTCTTTGAGATTATATCAATCTTATGACTAAAGTCCGGATTCGTTAGATTAACACAAGTTACATCATATCATTTTTTTTATTTTCATTCTATAAAGTTGTATTAGTTTGATGACCTGAGTTATGGATTTGATAGATTGACTTGAGTTGTTTTTTATGTTTTTTTTAAATTAATTTTTTTTGTCCCTTAATATTGGACTAATTGGGGATTAAAATTCATAATTTGTTTCAATTTGTTTTCCATGAGGTTACCTTAGTCTTATAAATCGGGTCACGATTTTGATATGTTTAATTTAGGTTTTTTTTTAGATCCATTTTTAATTGATTTTTTGTTTTTTCAATTTCATCGTTTAATATTAAATTGATTGAGAATTAAGCTTTATAATTTATTTTGATTTGATTTATATGAAGTTATTATAGTTTCATAACCTAAGTCGAGAATTTAACATATTAATCCAAATGGATCGAAACCAATTTAATATGTTGTTATCATCTTATTAAAAAACAATATCATCTTAAAATTATTTTTAATCAAATTATATTTTTATAGATTATATAAATTGTTTTTTAACTAACAAAATCAATTGAGTTATATCAAGTTAACCCCCACCTTATTTTTATTTTTTCTCGTGAAAACAAAATCTTAACAAAATCTGAATATATTTTTGTCAGGAAAAATCTGATACAACCGACGGCATAGCACAAATGAAATATGTAATATCTTCAAAATCTCCAATCACACGTCTTTTGAATAAAAAATTTTGCGGGTTATCCGTACAAAATGCCAAAAGAAATGGACTCTTGGGAATCATCAAGGATTGTGCAAAGTGGTGGATACAATGAATATCCATCTACTTTTCCTTGTTTCGGACCCTTAATTCATCAAGGAGCAAAACCGAATTCTATTCCTCCATGCTTTGCCCAGATGAAGGGAGAAAACAATGCACAAACATGAGACAATGAATAGCTAAGTTACTGTCTTCCCCTTCTTTGCTCTCCTCATCATTATTTCCATTATCTTCAAACACTAAATCATTCTTCTCGTCATCAGAGATTCATTTCGAGAACCTATAACTTGAGGGAGTTTAACTCCATTATCAGAGGAACAATGTTTCGGAGATTCACAGAACTACCATGTATCAAGGTGAAGAAATTTGAGAGGACTAAACCTCCATCCTTGTTTCACTAGCATGACCAAACCCATCCCATGCGCCATCTTTTTTTTCACAACGAGACTGCCAATTTCTCCAACGCCTCCTCTGACTGGAAACCTCTTGAATTTTACAATCACTCTACTTACTTCCTTGCATAAAATATGCATCAGGAAGCTTGATAGATAAGTGCAGCAGAAGCTACGGACTTGAACGGTATGGCTTTGGCAGCAGGGACATTACAGAATGAGGTGTTTGGGAGGGCCAAGATGTAACATTTTCATTTAGGTTGGGGTGGCTATCACATTTTCAGAATGTGATTTATTTGAGAAGTTTCAAAGAATAAGGGGAATTTTGAATTTTTTGTAAACTTGGGGGAGGCGACAAGGCCACCCCCATTCGTCCCTGTTTCACAGCACCAGAGAAAAGCTTTGCACCCTTTGCCTCCGCACATATCTGCCTTTTTGGACCTGTGGAAAAGCCAAGTTAGTCCCAAATAAGCATTGAGAGCTTAGACCTAATGTGTTTAATCTCCATCATACAAAACTTGGCCATTCTTACACAAGTTCAAGGCTTTTTACTGAAGAAATTGACTTGTGAAAGTTGAACTGCTGGCCACTAAGATCTTTCTCACTGCAAGGGATTTAGGGTCCAAAATACGCAACTCAGAACAATTGTACGTTGCCCAACGAGTCACCTAAATGATTGACTGCCAAAATGTTGGCGACAAGTTTTTTTCCCCTGGGATCATTGCGCTTGCTGTCTTGTCTTTATGGCAGCACAAAGCTCACGTCATTTTTTATCTTGCCTCGGCTTCCATGGCCCAAAAAATGGTTTCCAGCTACTGACTTGCTTCTCCAGTTCGTGAAATTTCTGGGATGCAATGTATCGGCTGGGAAATGAAAAGAAACAATTGAAGAACAAAACATTGATTACAACAATTTTCAAATTAATTTTTACAAACAAATATACAACCTTGAGAATGGCTGAACAAGAATATAAAACAAGAAAGTTAAAAACAAAGAAAAAGAATCAGAGTCATCTCAAATCAAAGTATATGTCTGGTCTTCGACCAGTCTCTCTCATTCTTGTCCCACAAAGTCTGCGACTTGCCTCCATTTTTGGCAATCCAATGAGTTAATGTTCAGTTTGGTCTCTAACTTGCTCTGCTAGCCTGCCTGGTCTTCAGCTTCTTGCGACAGCTGAACCTTCTCACGCCCACTTCTCAATGATGCATTTGGTCTGGGCACTTGTGGACCAGTTATAGGCTTCTGCAATGGCTTCAGCGCAGCCATGATTTCTGCAAATGTTGGCCTTAATTTTGGATCTCTGTGGTTTTAAGAAATGTCAATTTTACATCGATTAAGTAAATAAATAAATAAAGAACATATCCAAGTAAAACTATATGCCATGTCTTTAGCAGAAGCTGCTGCTTTTGACACAAAAGCATCCAGACCCAATACAAGATATTTTCTCAAGATTTTGTTTTGAAGTTCAAATATGAAAATGAAAGAAAAGGGGCCTTGAAGTTCGTTACAGTATGTTCAGTGGAACTACCAGTTTTCATTGGGATAAGTATGGCTTCCATAAGTAGAAACTCTTTATACTCTAGTTTAACTCAACCAAAAAATATAAACCAAAGCATGTTTGCAGACAGTGGTATTAAACTGAAAAAAGAAGAAATCAGGTGTATGCAGAGCAGTGAGGATAAAAGGACCCAAATAAATAAACACTCACGTCTTCCAGCAGTTCCTAATAATATCTGCAATTGCAGGATCCATATCATTTGGAATGTCGAGACGGCGATGTTGAAATCCAACTGCACCAACAACTTGCATAGGGTTCATTCCACCCCATGGTTGTTGCAATGTAGAAAGCTCCCATAATATAACCCCGAAGCTATAAACATCACACCTGCATTTTGATTCTTACTTTAATATAAGCATATAATGAAAAGTTCATAAACACTAAAACAAATTTTAGAAATATTTGCATACTTTTCGTCTGAAGGTTCATTTCTTAGCACTTCTGGGGCCATCCACTCAGCCTGAAAAGTCATGTAAGAGGAAATTAAATTTTTATGAGTGACAGTTTTAATAGCAGAAAACCAACAGGGTATT